CTTTGGCTTGTACAATAAGTTTGATGTCATAGACTTTTGATTGTAGGGGAGGCAATTTTGATACATGTATCCTCTTTATTGCAGATCAAATCTTTAAATATATTGCACAACCAGAAACATCTATTTGTCCACTTGGATTGAGAAAATATTGACAAAATACTGGTTATTTATCTCATTGCTGACTTTAAGTATAAGCATAAAAAGGACAATGAAAACAAAAGAACCATCCATTGCATCAGCATCATTTGTGAATATACAAAGGTCAACTCCAGCCAGAATTCAGTTTGTTAGAGCTCTCTACTGCTCTATTATAATACCAGTTAAAGAACAAAATAATGATACCATGTGATCTGTAGGAAACACTCTGTGATCTATAAATTGTTGGTTGGTACAATGAGATTCAGAAACTCCTATAAGATTTAATCAATTACCAGAAATTAAACAAAAGTATCAACCTGAATGAAATATCATTTATGAATCCAGATGGCTATCTCACCTATGGTCACATATGAAAATATTCAGAATTTGCTGTTTTTTAGATGCTCTGCTTTTTCTTTGGTACTGATTTCACATCAAGCAGAAAAAAGTATGCTCATTCAGATTTATAAAGATGAGAAAACAATGACCAAGGATGAATATATGTTTGACAAGTTCAAGCTCACAGATAGATTTCTATAATGTGTGCATTGCTTGGAAGGAAGAAAACTCACATAAATGTCAGTGAAATTCTCAATAGGTCTGCTGTTGACAGAGAAACAATTATAGGGAAAGAGAATAACATTTGAGCTAGGACAATTTGGGGTGTGTTGTCTAGGAAGCCGAACAATATAAACCTATAGGTGATAAGCAGAAAGACAAAAATCTCTTCCAAGAACTCACCCAAATTCTGTATCTGTACCATTAAAATAAATTATTCAGGAGAAGATGAGAAAATTCAAAGAAGATCAGCAATTAGCATTGAATGCAATGAAATCATCAACTAGATAGAGAAAAAAAAATCAGACTGCTAAGGAGGAAAAAAATTTTGAGTATCCACAAAAAAACACAACCCGTCATCATGAGATTATGCCAGTGGTCAGGGGTCATGGCCAGGAGGAAGCCAAGAGGCTGATGGGAATAGATATCCTCCCCATGGAGAAATGTCTACTGGACTCATCACTGAAGAGAACAGTTAAAGAAAACAGAAATAAATAATTCTACACAGCTAGACAAAAAAAATTGAAAACCTAAAATTTGTAGACAAATCTGTTCAGTGGCAGTTTTAAAATCATATATTGAGGAAGATTTCTGGTCATTTTGAATCCTTAACAGTGTGAACAGCAAAAGAGGTGAATGCCTTTTCACTTTATCAATACTATAAAAATGGAAGAAATATATATACTGATTTGTATACTAAAGACTAAGAATCTATTCAAAATTAACAATCTTAAAAAAATTGAAACAAAAAATAATCTTCCTATAAAGTGGGAAAAGGAAGGACAAGCACAAGCAAATTACACTCAGAAATGACAGGTTCCAAGTTATTGTATAAACCAAAAGTGTATTAAAAGTTATTTCAAAATATCAAGCAAGTTTTTAAAAAACTGAGATTAGTATCTCCTAAGTTCTTACTATTTAAAGTTATATTTACACATAATTTATGCCAAACCAGTGATTTAAGGTTCTGCAGTCAAATGCTCTACCACTGAGCTATATCCCCTGAATTACGTTCTGAAGAAAGAAACTATATGCTGCCTCCTTCCATACTTTTAAAATCTTACAATTATATTTGAAATTTGGTGATTTAATTACATAATGAATCCACTATCATTAACTACCCATATAGTTAACTATTATGTGCTAGATACTGCTATGTTCTAGATGCTGGATTAATACAAATATATTTCAGACATGATTCAGTATCAATTGTCTCATAATTTAACAGAAGTTAGAGTCATCTACACAATATACTATAATAATATATAGATTGCAATAATATTCATAAAGAAAAGGTATAGTAATCCTAAAAGGAAACTTTTGAATTAATATTGTCCCTATAGTACTCTTTTATTTTTATTTTTTTAAAGATTTTATTTACTTATTTATGAGAAACACAGAGAGAGGCAGAGACACAGGCAGAGGGAGAAGCAGACTCCCTGAGGGGAGCTTGATGCAGGATTAGAGCCTAAGACCCTGGGATCACAACCTGAGCCAAAGGCAGACACTCAACCATTGAGCCACCCAGTTGTCCCAATATATAGTACTCTTTTAAAAATAGAAGTATTTTATCCTAATAGTTGCCTTAAATAATATCAAAATGACCTTTAATCTTGAGACATATGACAGGTATACTTTGATGGAGTATAAAATGTCAGATGTGAAGAATGTACTACAATATTTGAGTAATTGAAGAGAAATCCTCTGAATGGGAAGAGAACAAGACAAACAGTAGATGCCTAGAGAAAATAGAGAAGATTGATAGAGAAGTCCTTATGGGGAAAAGAATAAAAAAAAACTTTATATATATTTCCTAAATTTTCCTACGGTTATCTTTGTTTTCCAGGAATATAATGTGAATCATAAACAAACTGAATCTACTTTATATTTAAGTTGTTTTAATATTGTCAATTAAAAATTTCCATGTTATGGAATATTCTTTCTACATTTGTAAAAAGTCCTAATAAATTTAAAATTGTTGCCCACTTCAAAATGATAACTTTCTGTGAAAGGCTTATTGCTATAACATAATAAAAGCCACATATGAAAAGCCCACAATGAATATCATATTCAATGGTTTCCCCCTGAGAGCTTTCCTCCTGAAGTCAGGAACAAGACAAGGATGTCCAGTCTCAGCACTTTTATTCTGCATCGTACTGGAAGTCTCAGGCACAGCAATCAGACAACAAGAAGAAATAAAAGGCATCCCAAATGGTAAGGAAGAAGTAAAACTTTCACTATTTACAGATGACATGATACTGTATATAGAAAACCCTAAAAACTACATCAAAAAACTATTAGAACTGGTAAATGAATTCAGTAGTCTTAGGATACAAAAATCCTATGAGGATTTCCTGTGAGGAATTCTGTTGTATTTCAATACATTAATAATGAAGCAGAAAGAGAGAAATTAAGAAAATGATCCTATTTATAATTGCACCAAAACTGATAAGATACTTAGGAACAAAGCTAAGCAAAGAGATGAAAGACCTGTACTCTGAAAACTATAAAACACTGATGAAACAAATTGAGGAAGACACAAAGAAATGGAAAGACATTCCATGCCCATGGGCTGGAAAAACAAATATTGTTAAAATGTCTATACTACCCAAAGCAATCTACACATTTAACGCAATCCCTGTCAAAATACCAGCAGCATTTTTCACAGAACTAGAACAACAACAACAAAAAATCCTAAAATTTATATAGAACCACTAAAGACCTCAAGTAGCTAAAACCATCTTGAAAAAGCAAAGCAAAGCTGGAGGCATCACGTTTCCAGACTTCAAGTTATTTTACAAAGCTGTAATAATCACAAACACTATGGTACTGGCACAAAAATAGACACATAGATCAATGGAACAGAAAACCAGAAATAAGTCCACAACTAATCTTCAACAAAGCAGGAAAGAATATCCAATGGAAAAAAGTCTCTTCAACAAATGGTGTTGGGAAAACTGGGCAGCTCCATGCAGGAGAATGAAACTGGACCACTTCCTTACACCATACATAAAAATGAATTCAAAATTGATAAAAGACCTAAAGAAGACCTACACCCATAAAAATCCAAAAAGAAAACAAAGGCAGTACTGTCTCTGACATTGGCCATGGCAATATTTTTCTAGATATGTCTCCTGACCAAGGGGAAATAAAAGCAAAAGTAAACTATTGGGACTATATATATATATCTTTTGCACAGCAAAGAAAATAATGAACAAAACCAAAAGGCCATCTACAAAATGGGAGAAGGTATTTGCAAATGACATATCTGATAAAGAGCTAGTATCCAAAATATATAAAGAATTTATACAACTCAACACCCAAAAAACCAAATAATCCAATGAAAAAAGTGGGCAGATGACATGAACAGACATGTCTCCAAAGAAGACATCCAGATGGCCAACAGATACATGAAAAGATGCTCAACATCACCCATCATCAGGGAAATGCAAATCAAAACCCCAATGAGATATCACCTCACATCTGTTGGGATGGCTAAAATCAACAACACAGGAAACAACAGGTGTTGGTGAGAAAAACGAACCTTTGTGCACCATTGGTGGGAATGCAAACTGATGTAGTCAGTGTGGAAGACAGTATGGAGGTTCCTCAAAAAGTTAAAAATAAAACTACCCCACAATCCAGCAATTGCACTGGGTACTTACCCCCAAAATACAAAAACATTAATTCAAGTGGACACATGCACCCATGTGTTTCTAGCAGCATTATTTACAATAGCTAAACTATGGAAGCAGCCCAAGTGTCCATCAATAGATGAACTTTCCTATTCAAAGATGATGCAGTAAATATACACAATGAAATATTATTCAGCCACAAAAAGAATGAAATCTTGCCATTTGCAATAACATGGATGGAACTAGAGAGTATAATGCTAACCGAAATAAGTCTGAGAAAGACAAATACCAGGTGATTTCATTCATATGTAGAATTTAAGAAACAAAAAAAATGAAAAATGAGCAAAGGAAACAGAGAGAGAGAGAGAAACCACAAAACAGACTCTTAGCTAAAGTGAACAAACTGATGGTAACCAGAGGGGAGATGGGTAGGGGGATGGGTTAAGTAAGTGGTGGGACTTAGGAGGACACTTGTGATAAGTGCTGGGTGATGTATGGCATTGTTGAGTCACTATATTATATACCTGAAACTAATACAACATTGTATGTTAAAAAATAAATAAAAGTAAATAAAAACAAAAGATAAAATATAATAAAAGGCTTATTGCCATATGTAGACAGAGATATTTAAGAAATATTTCTCAACAAGTTGAGAAATAATTTACTTACAATTATCTGACATTCTTGAAGAGAAATATTCCAAAAGACCTAAAATACTTGTTTCCTTCAATTCTGGTGGTTCTTCTGATTTATCAATGTGCAAAATATTTTTTTGTGAACTTTTACAGACACAGAAACCAATAAAAGCAGTTTTTCGCAAATTAGAAGTGGTCGCATACAAGCAGATTTCTGCAAGAATTGTCGTATATATGTAGACTACATTCCAGGCCCAGGAAAAATTATCTACCTTGCAGCTTTCTTCCTAAAAGGAGAAAATAGTTATTAGATAATCAAAGTACATTCTGTCATAATTAAAACTGTATATTGTATTTGTGATAATAAATACCTTCAAATTCTATAGAGTTGTTAAAGGACCATAATCAATGAATATTTCTAAAATGTACTCATTAAAAAACAGATTTTCTGGGGGTAGATTGCATAAAATCTAGCTCAAAGGATAAAAAATACAAATAGCTAAAAGGAGTATAAAGCATAACTTTTCAATTTCCTTAGTAATCAATAGAATAAAAATTAATCCAGTGAGATACCAAAATGGTATTATATTATATAATATTATTATATTATTATAATATAAATAATATAATTATTATTATAATTATTATATTACAAAATAATCTTTTTTATATAAAATTCAATTGTGTGTGGCACTGAATATATTTTTCATAGGAAAGCAAGACAGTTATATCTTCTGCATAGAAATCTGGAGATCTATCTACAAATATTAAAAGAAAGTTCATAGTCTATTATTTAATAGACTACGCAATTTAATTTTATGCATCTATTCTGAATTAACAGTCATAAACACAGATAAAAATTTTATGTTTGAGAATACCAGTTCAACATTATTTGCAATTAACTATGAATAATTAGAAACAAACTCAATGTTCAACAATGAAGAAACGGTTAAATTATCTCATGTACACCAAAATATAAATTTTAATAATATATAATTATAATGAAAAATGTTTTCATGATATGTTTTAAATTATAGGGAGCTAAACCATATATGACTCTATGATCTCAAGTTTTTAAATAAAATTCAAAGTCCCTCTCACGTATGTGTGTGTGTGTCTATTATCTACCTTCATATCTCTACATCTCTATCTAACATCTATATATCTATTCATACTGGGATATACAGCAAATGTGCATTTACTTTTATATTTAATTAAAATTTTTATTACAAGGTTATTCTCACTATAAGCCTTGATATGACATACAGTTTAAGTAGTGGCAAAAATAAAATTTCTCTTCAAGTCTTTTAAAACACCTAAATTAATGATATAGTTACCTGATTTTGAACAGACATAATGCTTAAAAGAAAATCTCTCATTAGTTCCATTAAAGCTTTCAAGCAGGCCATGTTTAATTTGGCAGCCTCCCCAAGAACCAAAAAAGCCAGTATTGAATCCAACCTAGGAATTTGTGAATAAGACAACAAAGATCTTAATTAAAATAATAATAAATAATTTTTAATGAAAAAGATGGCCAGAGTTAATGAATATCTCAGATTACCAGATACATTTACTTTTAATAAAGACCAGTATTGGTCGACACTGGTTGTGATTTAAGTCTACAAGAAAGAGCCACAGTTTGACAAGATACTTGCATTCAGATACGTGTTCTGTCAAAACTTGGAGAACAATAAATACTACAAAAGATCACATTTCTTCATAGACCGTGTATAACAAGCAATCAAGGGCTCTGGTTCTACAGTGTTCCCCAATGCACCTAAGAGGTGAATTTCAAGAGTGTTTTCCTTTAAAAAAAAAACAACAACAAATTGTAAAATTGTCTTCCTAAACACTCCAAAAGTTCAGATTCATTTTATAAAAAGTGTAATTTCTCAAAACCCATATTTCAGTTTGAAAAGAAGACTGTCAAGATTTATCACTCAGAATATTGTATAACTGGGAAATCACACAAGAATTTATTAGTCATAAATGTACATATATTTGATAGTTTCAGGAAATTACACATTTAGAGTTATTTTGACCCAAGTGAAAGAGATACAGTTTGAAAGAGACTTGGTAAGAATGCAAATGTAAAATTGCCTCTACCTACAATTGCATATTGCCTTGATTTATAAGCCATTGATAAAGAGTTAGCATATTTTACAACTATATTTGAATTTCACAACTGTGATATTTCAGGTCAGTAAGTCAAGTTCATTATCATTTTCAAAAGGAACCGCCTCTAATCCTGGGGAAAAAAGACAATTCTTTATATTTGAATAGAGCTTTAAAGATCTCAATGTGCATTCACATGAATTATCTCACTCATTGAACCAATTTTTTTGACATATTCAAGACCTCTTTGAAATCTTTTTTTTTTTTTTTTAAATATTAGAAAACTGAGATGTAAACAGATCTGGGAGATTTATCCAGGTTCCTGTTTTAAACGAGGTTAATGATAACTAAAGCCTTCTCTCACCGATGGGGATTTCCTGTACTCCTTTTTCCAAGCCATTATTTACGTACATAGAAACTGAACCTATCGTGGTGATCATTTCACAATATACACAAACATCAAATCATTATGTTGTACACCTGAAACGAACACAATGTTTTATGTTAATTTCACCTCAAAAAAAAAATTTAACCTTAATCTGACAATGCTGCCTATTGCCTACCTAATATTGTCTGCTCCTTCCTCTCTCAAACCTCAGTTTTGTTCAAGATGGCAAAATGCTCGGTTAACATTGCTCCTCAAAATGGAAATACTCTGTATCTTGATTGTGATTACACATGTGTATGCATTTGTCAAAAGTCATAGATCTGTATACATAAAATATATGAATTTTATTATATGTAAATTACATCTTAATCGATTTGACTTAAAAAATGAATCCCCACATTCATTTTTGAAGCTTGGAATAGCCACAACTGTAGATTTAGTCAATGAGAGATACAAACGGAAGCCTATTATGAAAGGCTTCTGGGTAAACTATCATTTTTCTGATAAAGAAAAAGATTAAATTTAGATAACAGGTGATTTTTTTTCCCCCTTTGCTCATCCTTTCCCTGCCCCTTGGAAAACATACATGGTGCCAGATGGTAGACCAGATGTCTTGCAACAATGCTGGTGCATGTCCAACACTACCAGTGGAAGAAAAGGAAGCTAGAAGGAGCTTGGGTCTTGATTTTCTTAAGAATCTGCATATCAGTAGTGCACTGCTTGTTATGTGCAGTAATTAAAGCCCTACCTGGTAATGCAGTTGTAGTTAGGTTACTGTTTCGTGCAGAACTGAATCCTGACTGATAGATTCGACATGATGCTTACCAGCATGATCTTGGAGTCAAAAATTACAGATGGAACCGTAGCTCTGCCACTGATTAGGTATAGGACCTAGGGCAATTTGCGTAGTCTACCTCAGTCTTGATCTAGTCATCTCTAAGTAAATACAGCAAAACCTACTTCTCAGAGACGATTATAAGATTTAAATAAAATACTCTATGTGAAATGGCTAGGTTCAAAACGTTGACCTGAATCGAATTGCAGAAAGACTGTTCCTTCAAAGTCAAAGGCTATGAGTTTGGTAACCTTTCTCTGTGAATTCCAAGAGTGACTGAGGTCCAGACACCCTCCAAGGTGAACAGCCGGTGAGTCATTCCCTGAGTACTCCTCACCCCACTTCACAAGAAGGTCAAGCAAAGGAGAGGATAGCCTCGGAGTTTACAAAAATTCCTTGACCCTGAATATACCTCACTGTCCTACGATTTTTGGTTCTTTTGTTCTCTTTTAAGTCAAGAAAATATTAATTAATGTAGGGCAGGCACTCACACTAAAATAAGGATGAGAAAAGATCCATGAGTGTCAGCCACCTATAGTAGAAAAGTGTTTCAACACAAACACACTATTTTCAGTCAATGCTATTGAATGCAAAGTTTTCTGTAAGTGTAAATACCTTTGCCAAAAATAGCATAGAAACACCGATACTTACAAATTGGAGTTGGTTAAAATTCAAAACTTAAAATCAATGCACATAGAATTCAATGTTGATGAGGTTTAGGAATTTTGCACTAGCTTCTCTGTGAACTCACTGCAGTGCACCAAGTCTCAATTATTAGTAGACTGACCTGGTTTGACAGTGCTGTGAATTAAATATGTATAAAGTAATTAAAAATATGATAAATTCATATTTATGATAGATAAATATTATAAAATTTCCCCTAATTTTATAAATAAAGAAACTAAGGCAGAGGTTTACTGGCTCACCCAAAATAGCATAGTTAATTTATTCATTCTACCTTTAATTTTTTTCTCACTTTTAAAACTAATATGACTCACTGCACACTGGTAAATACCTCAGCTAGCCTTACTCCAGTCCAGTGTTCCTTCTGCACTAATATGAGCCAGCTAAAATATTTCAAATAAACAAATATGTAGATAGATCGGCTAAAATACAGTAACAGGAGGCTTTATAAAAAGCTACCAACCTATCTATCTGTCCACACACACCCTTATAAAAAGGTTAGGAGCATCAGCATTGAAGGCATTTTCCTAGGTTCTCTTTACTCCTCTCTATCGCTTCTTCAATGACCAAATTCCAGTTTTGAAAGATGGAATGAAAATGTCTCCAAGTCACAATCCTTACAAGGGTTCTCTCAACCTTTCAGTAGATACCTCGGAAAACACTGAGAATGTCAAAAATCCACATAACCCTAAAAACGAGAGAGATGTCACTAAGAGCAGCACCTCCTAGGGAATTTCCAGAAGAATTTCCAGAATGGAAAATGGGAATTTCCAGAATGGAGCTGGATTAAGAACAGCAACAAGGAGCACACACGGGCCGCCACAGCAGCCTGGTCTGCCCCAAGGAAGGTTAAAAGGAAAAAAAGAGATCCCTACCATCTACGGGGTTTTTCCCAGATCCAGAAGAGGAGAGCCAGTCCCTTACTTTGGGGGGCTGGTTTTTTAAGGAGCCAGAGAATTGTTTCTGTGCTTCATCCTTGTCTCTCTCATCTGGCAACTTCCAGATGACGAAAAGGGTAGAAAACCAGGTGGTGGCAATGTGTGTGCAGGAGGTGGGAGCAGGGGAACACTGTGATGGGAACTCTGCAGGGCACCTTCTCCTCGAAAGCAAAATACCAAAATGTAGGAAGAATGCGGGAAGGTCCCTGAGGACCTGCGTGTTGAGTGTTGCTGCATTTAGCAACTCTGTGATGGAGGCTGCGAATACAAACCTCTTGCTTTAAAATACCAAGTTTTTACAGATTTCTCCTAGATAATGAGTTAAGTAAAATAGGAAATGGGGGATAGTAAAGCAAGGGCGAAGGGGACTAGCAGTCTGAATGCTCAGGGAGGATGATCCTGGCTCTGAAAATGAGCCTTTACAGGCACCAGAAGACATTTTTTATTTTTAGAAGACTCTTAAGCACCTTTCCATAAAGCCAAGGAAGGGGAAAAGACCATCAAGAGCCTTGATCCCGACATGAAAGGAAGTGTGGTCAGAAACCAAGAGATTGCGAAGAGATTAAAGTTAAAACATAGAATTCAAATGCACGAGGAGGAAGTTACTGCAAAAGTTGCCTGGAAGGGAGCCCTCTGCCCTCCCCCTGCTGGAGTGCTCTGGCTCTCTCTCTCTCTCTCTCTCTCTCTCTCAATAAATAAATAAAATCTTTTTTTTTTTTTTTTTTTTTTTTTTTTAAAGAAACAACCAAGGAAACATAGAACCAAGGGGGGAAAAATCTGTAGTACTATCAAAAAAAAAAAAAAGCACTTTAAAGATTTTAAAGTTCTGAAGAAAATGGAAAAAAGAAAACCTTTCCAATGAATGATGAGAAGCCAAAAATTAAATATAAACTTTAGCGCGGGCGTATACGGCTGGTCCACTGCGGGGTAATGTATGATCCCAGCAGGCAGAGGAGCTGCCCACTGAGCACGTGCGCGATGGGCATTTGGTGGGGGAGGCCTCCGGGACCCACAGGGCCCAGGGGGCCCACGGAGCCAGGCCTGTGCACAGCCTCATGGGGCAGGCCCTGCTGGGCGCAGGGAGGATTGGGCCCAGCAACGTCCTGAGGTGGCCAGTGAGCCCGAAGGCGATGCCTTTCACATCCTGGCTGCCAAATCACAAAGACGCTCCTTAAAAATTAAATTAAAAATTCTGAATTGAGAATAAAATAGAAAAAAAAAAGAAGTCGACTAGCTTTGAACACCTAATCATAACTGTAAGTTAGGAAATGACACAGCAACATTTGGAGATTTAAAGTGGGGATTAGAAAAAATAAAACTGTGAGCGCGGGAGTGTGTTTCCAGACAGAAGGAACATTCGGCTTTTCGGGGGGAAGAACAGTGACAAATGCTACGCTGGGGCCACAGCTGTGTGTCAGCAAGGCCGCGCCCGATGTGGGGCTGTCCTGGTCCACGTGTCCATGCCTGGTCGAGTGCACCCAAACCAACCAAGAAACGAACA